GGGGGGGGCAGTGAGGGGGGGTCGTGACCCCGCTGCCACCCCGGGGGGCACCTGGGGACGAGGCAGGCCGGATCCTGCTCCGCCAGGCTCCTCCCCGGCGCTGGCGCTGCCCATAAAAGCCGATGGCGAGGAATTACGCAGCCCGGAAAAATGCAGCCAGGGCTGGCAGCGCCCGGCCAGGGGGGCGTGGGGGGGCAACAGCCACAGGGGGGCCCCCCCGAAGCGGCCCCGGGCGGAGGGGGGGGTCAGGATGCTCTTTAATGAGGGACTTAATGAGGAGTTGGGGTTTCAATTAAAAAAAGGCTTAGGGAGTCAGGGGAGGGCAGAGCCCCCCTGTCCCCCCCGTGTCCCCCCCGGCCCGGATTAATCCGCTGCCTCACCCGCGGGACGGCTCCCGCACCCGGCTGTAATCCCTCCTGAGCTCCCGGCCCGGGGGGGTCCCGGCACCCCCCTTGTGACACCCCAAATTGTGGCTGTGAGCAGCCGGGATGTGCCCACGTCCGTCCCTGGGGACAGCAGCCCCGAGGAGGGGAGGAGCAGTCCTGGGGGGGGACCACTGTGGGTCACCCCCTCACGGGGAGCAGGTGGCAGGGCACAGGTGACACCAGTGTCCCCGCTGTGATTCTGGTCACAGCCACCAAAATAACCCCCCCTGGAGTCAGGAGGCTCCACGGGAGCCTGGGTGGGTGGGGAAGAGCTCCCGTAGCCATGGAGAGCTGGGATGGGTGGGTGGAGCACATCCTATGGAGCACAAGGGTGGGCAGAAGGACCTGCCAGGGGTCACATCGACACGTGGGACCTCCCCTGGACTACCGAGTGCCCTGTTGGATGGACAGGAAGGACTTCCCTTCCAGGTGGGACCTGCCAGGGACCACAGAATGCCCCTCTGGGTGGACAGGTGGGAGCTCCCATGGATCATGGAGCACCTCATGGGGCACACAGACAGGACCTCCCAGGGGCCACAGAGACAGAGAGGACTCCTGGGGACCACAGCGATGGGTGGGACCCCCAGGGACCCTGCTGGGTGGACAGAGACAGGTGGGACCTCCAGTGACCACAGAGTGACCTTGGGGTGGGCAGACAGGACCTCCCGGGAGACACAGGGCACCCTGTTGGGGGGCAGAGAGGATCTCCCCCGAACCACAGAGCTCCCCGCTGGGTGGCTGGGCAGGGCCTCCCACAGCCCCGCTGGGCGGGCAGCGAGGCCCTGGCGGTGTCCCAGCGCTGGGTGGCCGGCGAGGCCCTCACCCAGGCACAGGGCTCCCAGGGGAGCGCGTGTCTCACCAGCTCGTCCAGGTTCTTGAGGTCGCACAGGGTGATGGGCCGGGCCCGGCCGGGGTAGGCGCCCGCCGGGGGGTCCCGGCTCTCCCGGCGCGGGCCCAGCGCGCCGTCGGCCATTTGGTCCCTCATCTCCTCCTCGATCTCCTCCTCCATTTGGATCAGCATGGGGGCCAGCATGCCAAACTTGGAGCCCCTCCTGGCCACCTCCAGCAGGCAGAGGACAAAGTTCTTCTCGTTCTTCTTCAGCACCAAGTCGTTGGTCTCGAACATGAGCACGTCCTGGATGCCCAGGTCCTGCCGGCACCACTGGATGAAGTTGGAGACGTTATCCCGGGCGATGAAGGAGCCGGGCACCACGTTCTTGGCCTGGAAGACCACCTCGTTCTGGGGCACTCGCATGCGGGCGGCCGCCTCGGGGTGCCGCTCCTGGAAGTCCAGGGCGATGCGGTTGACGTTGTTGGCGTGGCGGCACAGGTGACAGCCCGTCTCCAGGCTCTCCAGGAAGGTGTCCACCTGGATGTCCAGGTCGTAGAGGGTGTTGAACCACTCGGCCAGGTCCTCCTTCATGGCCTCCAGGTACTCCTCGCTGGAGCGGAAGGGGCGGATGCTCTTGGAGGCGGCCGACTGGATGTGGCTGGGGTCAGCCATGGCAAGCTGCCTGCGGGGGGACAAGGGGGGCTGTCATGGGCAGGAAATCCCCCAAAGCCCCCCAAACCACCCACCAACCTCGGTGAGCCCTCTGTGCCTCAGTTTCCCCCACACATTACCCATGGGCAGGAGCATCACCACTGCCACCACCAACCCTCCGGGACCCGCCTGATCCTGCCAGGACCTGCAGCACTCCCCACCCTATGTCCTCCCCACAGCCCATGTCCCCTCCCCTCATGTCCCTCCCCCATGTGTGTCCCCATTCTCCACATCCCCCACTCCGTGTCCCCTCATCCTGTGACCCCCCAGGTTAATGAGTCCCTTGTCACCCATGCCCACCCCTCGGTGGGGCTGTGACAGAGAGGGGACATCCCTCCCCAACCCCACCCTAAAAGCTGCCCAGTCATGGTGAGTGTCCTCACCCCGCTGTCCCCACCCCGGGAGCAGGTGACACCCCGAGGGATGGCAGTGCCAGGGGCAGGGAGCCCCCCCTTTACCTTGGTGGGGTTCAACCCTGAGGGGCTGCAGGGGGTGGGAGGATTGGGGTCCCAGCACTCGGCCATGGGGTGGGGGCTGCACCTGGGGGAGGCCACCCAGTTGTCCCTGACCTGGGCTGGGGGTACAAGAGCCAGTGATGGCCCAGCAGAGGGGTCACCCCCTCCCGGGACCCCCACGACCTCCACTGCCACCCCCAGCCCAGCCCCACACCCTGGGAGGGGGGTCCTGGCCCTGGGGTGTCCCTGCTGTGAGGGGGTGTCCCCTGCCCTCGGAGGGGTGTCCCTGTTGGGGAGGGTCCCCTCACCTGGGGGGGGTGGCACTGCTACCCTCGGGGATGGGGGGACTCTGCTGGGGGGTGGTCCCCATCCCTCGAGAGTGGGGGATCCTGTCGGGGGGGGTATCTTTCCCTCGGGGAGGGGGTGTCCCTGTCGTGAGGTGTCCTTCCCTCAAGGATGGAGGGTCCCTTTCCCTCGGGGGGGCTGTCTCTGCCGGGGGGGGTCGCGGGGCACGGACAGGGGGAGGGGGGCACGGAGTGACACATAGCGACAGTCGGTGACATTCCCCCACCCCCGCCCGGGTGTGGCTCCCCGCTTCCATTGATCTGCCTCCTCCTCCCCCCACCCTCCCTTCCCCGGAACTCACACCCGGTGGGGAAACTGAGGCACAGCGGGATGCACCGGGCGGCTCCGTCCCTCCCCTCCATCCCATCCTACCCCGGCCCGGGCCCGGGGGCCGCGCCCCCCCGGCTCCCAGGGGCGCTCTCAAGAAAGGCCAGCAATGGTGCGGTTACAAACAGCGGGAATTTTATTTAAAAAAACAACCGTCACAACCGTTCACAGCGTTACAGGCGGGGAGGGGGGCGGGGGCGCGTTAAACAAACGGGTTTATTTTGGGGGAGGGGGGGGGAAGAAAGAATTCATCACGCTACCGTTGAACTTGGTTTTAATGTTTCTCCACAAACGGTGAAAAATACTAAAGTACAGACAAGGAGGACTCATAATGTTGTGGCCAACATTATAAATATGGAATTATAAATTTAAAACATTTTTTTCTGGTTTAAAAAATAAATCTGGTAGTAAATGCGGCTCTGGGGGGCGGCGTTAGTAGGGCCGGTCTCGGCGATCCTGGCGGTGTTCGCCCCTGTGGGCCGGGGGGACAGGGGTCAGTCGTGGGTCCAGGAGCCCTCCCCGGGTCGGGGAGGCTCCTTAACCCCNCACCATTCACCCCCTTGCCCCTCCACCCATATGTCCCACCCCAGCCGCCCTCCACCTTGTCCCCATCAGGGTCTCCCCCTCCCCAGTGTCCCCTCCCATCACTCCCTGCCCCGCCCTCCATCCATACTTGTCCATCTTTCCCGGCCCTCCGCGCCGTCCTCTCCCTCCTCCTCCTCCCATCTGCTCCATGAGGGGTCCGGGGGGTCCTCCGGGGCCGCCGCCTCCTCCTCCTCTCCGGCCGCCTCCTCCGTAGCCGCCTCGGTCCATGCCCCGGCCACCTCGGAATCCCCCTCGGTCTCCGCCGCGGCCGCCTCGGAACATCCCTCCGGGCCCGCCTCGGTCCATGAGGCCCCCGCCGCGCCCGCCCCGCATCCCCCCGGGGCCGCCTCGGCCGCGGTCACCGCCTGCGGGAGGAGACCCTGGGAGTGAGCCCAAGGGAGCACATCCCGCTCCCGTGTTCCCCACCCCACCAGCCCAGCACGTCCAGCTCCGGCAGGAGCAGCAGGAGAAGGGCTGGGAGCTGCTGGGTACCCGAGGGGATTCTGGGGCTCATTAAGGCTGAAGCAGTGCCCTGGGGAGTCGGGGTGCTGCTGATAGTGCCCCAAATGCAGCAGGCACAGGAGAAATCCCAGTCTCTATGTCATGGCTCACAGAGGGATGAAGGCCTGGCAGCTCCTGGAGCTGATCCAGCCATTCCCCAAGGAACCTGAGGCCAGGCCTGGGGTGTCCTGCTGGGAAGTGGGGCTGTGAACCCCCAAACGTACCTGGAGGAGGGAAGGGGGGCGGGAGGAACCCCTCCGGTTTGGGCGCCTTGCACTGGTTGCACTCTGTTCTCCAGGCAAAGTTCTGGTTTCCGCAGCCCCTGGGTACAAATTCCAGTTAGCCCAGAGTGGGACAGCATTCCAGCTGGGGTGACATTGGGAAGCACGAGCAGGAGAGCACGTGGAGAGGGGACACAAGGGCAGGACGTGGGGCACAGCTCCCACAGTGGCTGGGGGTCTGGCTGCCCGCTGGAGCTGTGGTTCACCCACAGCCCCCAGGAGTGACCCCATCCCTCCCTCTGTGCCAGCTGGAAGCTGCTTCCTGGGAAGGCCCAGCAAGTGATTTGGGGAAAGGCCTCGCTGCCCTGGCCAGCTGCTGGGATACTCTTGGCACAGGCTGTGGGGTACTCACGGGTTGGGGCACTGCCAGTCTCCGGCGCGGTGCTGGACGCTCCCTCCGGATGGGTTTCCCCGGGATCCTCGTGGTCCTCTCGAGGAGAAGCCACCCCTGTCTCCACCTCGGCCCCCCATCCTGCCCATGGGGCCGCTGGGCCCGCTGGGGCCCCCTGGGCCACCGGGTCCCCCTGGACCTGCGGGAAGGAGCCCTGTTAGTGCTGGGAGCCTCGGGAAGGACGGGCAGCAGCTCGAGGGGGGCTGCACGGTACCTCCACGGAGGGGTGGGGGCATTCCCCGCTGCTCCCGGGGGGGCATCCCGCCCCTCAGGCTGTTCATCGGGCCCTTCTTCCGTGCCAGGGTCACTTTCAGCTTGCTTCCCTGGAAATCCTTCCCTGGGAGGGACACAATGGCAGGAACATCGGTGAATCCTGATTCACACACCTGCACCCACGTGCTTCCCACACTTGGGAGTTTTTGGAATTGCACCCCAAAACGTCCCCCAGCGCTCACCATCGAACCATTCCACGGCTGTTTTGGCAGTGGACGGGTCATCGTAGGACACGGTGGCATCACCCTTGGGCTTGCCCGTTTCCTTGTCGATGTAGAGGTTTATCATGGGCTGCCCCGTCCTCTTGTTCATCTAAGGGACAGTGGAATGTCATCCCAGGCCTGTCTCCCCACAGCCCAGCGGGGATTTACTCTGTTCTGCTTTCCAGCAGAAGCTCATTCCAGGGACTCCAGGACAGAAGAAAGTGATCCTAGGCCTACCATGGATGGCAGCAACTGCCCAGACACCCCAAAAATGAAGGGACAGGCCCTAAACAGCACTGCCAGGCCTCTCCCAGAGCCTGGACATGAGGAGCCAGAAGGATGTGAGCAACGGGCAGGGAGGAGGAAGAGGAGGAGGTGGGTGACCCTTTTCCCCCTGCCAGTGGGGGGTCACTGGTGTGCCCTCACCTTGACAACACCGCACTGTTTGAAGAAATCTGCCAGATCCTCCAGGGTCACGTTATCATTGAGTCCCTGCACATAGACTGCAGTGCTGTCCGAGTCCTCCTCCGGGTCCATAGGGGGGCCTAGGAGACAATTCCCGGGGTCAGAGGAAGGGCAGGGATACCCCAGGGCCGAGTTCTTTCCATCCCCTCCTCGCCTCCATGGCTGCAGCTTTGCCCTCTGGGAGTGACAGGAAACCTGGGCCCGAGGGAGGAGACTGTCCCCTCCTTCACCTCCTGAGTGCCACGGCCAGACAGAGCCCGCACCCACCCACGTGGGAAGAACCCCCAGGTTATTTCAGGACACATCCCAGAGGAAAGATGAGGAAGACCTTGGTGGCCCCTGGGCTCCCACACAAGGACATCCACCCCCCTTTTCCGATGCTGGAAGGCTGACGCAGAACTTCCAGACACGCCTGTGTGACAGGAAGGGACAAGCCATGGATGAGGCTCTGGGGGGGTTGCAGGCTCCCTGGAAGAGCTCCAGAGCAGCCCCTAACCCCCCGAATTCCTGCAGAGAAGGGGGAGCACCTTCCAACTACTGGTTTTCCAGCTGTTTGGGAACAAAGAAATGATGGCAACAGCCAGAAAGGCTGGAAGTGGTGGTGGGGTGACACCGTGGTGGCCGCAGCCCTCGGAGCGAGGACACAAACGTCTGTTTCACAACCTCGGGAGAGAGTTTGGTGGGAATTACCTAAATCCAGGTCAGGTCCTTCCTCCATGTGTCCTGCCAGGCGGGAGAGAAGCATAGGGAAGGGTGTTAGTGGGGGCCCTGCGGGCTGGAGAACCGACACACACAACACTAGCTACGACCTGCGCTGCACAAGCAGCAGCACTGCACCTTACTGGGCCATCAGGTGGCTCTTTTAGCACTTCTTCCAACCAAAAACCACTATTACACTGGTTTTAAGCATTTTTTCCAACCAATAACCACTATTACACTGTTTTTTTAGCAGCTTTCAAACCGTTAACCACTATTACACTGATTTTTTTTAGCAGGTTTCAAACTGTTAACCACTATTAACGCTGATTTTTTAAAAGGTTTTACCAAGCCAATCAGTTTTTAAGTTCATTAATAAAAGTTACTTAATATATCTATATATATTAAAAAAAATATTTATTACATCCAAACCATTTCTTTTCCCCAAAAT